AGGAACAGCTCTGCCAGAACATCACTGGGGCCCCTGCCAAGGACCCCGAACATCAACAGTGCCTTGATGCCATTGCCAAGGCTGCTGCACCCCTCGCCTCTGTCACTGTGGGTGTGTCATGGGACCCCAGGGACCCCCAACCCAACAGGGACCCTGCCCCATCCTGACTGGCACTTCCATCCCATCAGGGACCTCCATCCCTAAGGGGTCCCCCACCCTGAACAGGACCCCATAGGCCTCTGAGGTTCCCCACTTAAAGCAAGGCTGTCACACTGATGCTGCCAAGGATCCCAGGCAGCTCGTGACCCCTTTCCTAACAAGGAACCCCAGGCACCCACCACAGACAAACACCCCATGGTCTCCCCAGTCCAGACCTGCACCCCAGGGATCTCTAGGAATCCTAACCTTGACTGGGACCCTGAGAATCACCCAACCCTGACCAGAGACACACTGGGGATTCCCTGGGAGCCCCTGGCCCTATCTAGGGCTTCAGGAATCCCCAGGAATTCCTGACCCTTACCAGTATCCCTAAACCCCTATGAGAATTCTAGGAACCCCTAGAAACTTCCAGCCCTTACTGGACCCTTCCATTCCTGAACCTGTAACCACAACTCTATACTAGTCCCTTTGTCCCTGTGCTGGTCCCAGGTGCAGAGCAGCGTGGGACACTTGAGGAGATCATCACGGATGCCCTGCATTTTCTGGAGAACCAGAACAACACAAGTAAGCAGGAGATGTGGGACATGTGATGGGGATAGGGGCAGGACATGGGGCATGGGGAGTAGGATGTGGAGGCCTTGAACAGGGGGGTGGTGAAATGTAGGATATCTGGAGGTCTGAGGGCTGTAAGTGGGTACCTGGGGAATCTGAAGGGCAGATGATCTTCAAGGTATGTAGCTTCTGGGGGGGTTTGAGGGAGTTTTTGGAGTTATTTGGGTCTCTAGGATGGATATATGTAGTTGAGGTGAGTCGTACAGGGCATCTGGGGAGTATGGGAGGGGTTTCTGGTGACTGAGGGGATGGCACATTGTCTCACCTGGACATCTGGGGCAACCCAGAGCCCTTTGAGGAGTCTCTGCAGGAAGCCATCAACATCATCTGGGTGAATCTGAGCCAGCTGGAGGAAGGTATGGGGACAGCAGAGACACCTACCCAGGATTCTCATCCTGAGGAACCCCTGGGATCCTCACTCAGGGGACTGTCACAGAGAACCCCACCCTTGAAATCTACACCCCAGGGACACCCAGCCTGGGGAAAGCCCCCAGGACCCCATCTGAGCTGGACAAGCTCATCATGGGGATGTGGATCATTGGGGATCCCCAGTGATCCCCAGTCTAATGCTGCTTCCTCTTCATCAGCTCCAGCCTGCATCCCACCCTGTGGTGAGTGCCCATCCCTCTGCCTTGCCACCCCCTGTCCCCTAGCATGCTTCCCACCCTGTGGGACCACCAAGTCTCTCCCTGCCAGGGGACCAGAAAGCTGCCCGCACCTTCCAGTGCGAGACCTGCCGCGTTGTGGACTGCCAGTATCCTGTGGACTGCCCAGGTAGGGGGCCATGGTGAACTCAGGCTGGACAGCTGGGGGGCCGGGCAGGGCTCTGGGGGTAACCCTCATTTCTGAAAGAGCAAAGGCCACTAAGATGATGAAGGGGCTGGAGCATCTGCCAGATGAGCAAAAGCTGAGAGAGCTGGGGCTGTTCAGCTTAGAGAAAAGGAGGCTGAGGAGGGATCTCATCAATGCTTATAAGTATCTAAAGGGGGTGTCAGGAGGATGGGGCCAGGCTCTTCTCAGTGGTGTCCAGTGGCAGAATAAGGGGCAATGGTCACAAACTGGTACACAGGAGGTTTAACCTAAATACAAGAAAATACTTATTTACTGTGAGGTTAACAGCCCTGGGACAGGCTGCTCAGGGAGGTTGTGGAATCTCCATCCCTGGAGACATTCAGAACCTGCCTTGATGTGTTCCTGTGTGATCTCCTCTAGGGAATCCTGCTCTAGCAGGAGAGTTGGACTAGATGATCTCCAGAGGTCCCTTCCAGCCTCTATCATTCTGTGATCCTGTGATTTGAACTCATGTGCTTGTCAATGCTCCCAGTGCAGGACCTGTGGGCCCACGCGGATGAAGCCATCACGATGGACTGCAGCGTGCCCTTTGCCATCCCCCCTGACAAGCCCATTACCTGGTTGTTTGCCAAGGATGTAAGTTGCACACATGTGTGTGCCAGGGTTGACATAGACATTCAGGAGAGGGCTGGACATGGGTAGCAAAGCCTCATTCTCCCCCTCTACTCTGCCCTGGTGAGGCCTCAGCTGGAACACTGCATCCAGTTCTGGGCTCCCCAGTTCAAGAGAGACAGGGATATACTGGAGGGAGGAGGAGGTGATGAAGATGACTGGGGGTTGGAGCATCTCTCTGATGAGGAAAGGCTGAAGGAGCTAGGACTGTTCAGCCTGGACATGAGAAGGCTGAGGGGAGACCTTGTCAATGGTTACAAGTATCTAAAGGGTGGGTGCAAGGAGGATGGAGACAGGCCCTTCTCAGCAGTGCCCAGTGTCAGAACGAGGGGCAATGGGTGCAAGTTGGAACATGGGAAGTTCCTTTGAAATATGAGGAAAAACGTCTGTACAGTGAGGGTGACAGAGCCCTGGGACAGGCTGCCCAGGGAGGCTGTGGAGTCTCCAGCTCTGGAGATATTCCAAACCCACCTGGATGCAGCCCTGGGTAAAGTGCTCTGGGTGATCCTGCTTCAGTGGGACAGTTGGATTAGATGGTCTCTAGAGGTCCCTTCCAACTCCAGCAGTTCTGTGATTCTGTGTGCACACAGCTGTGTGCTTGGCATGAGGACCACCAGCAGATGCCAGCATCACTTACACAGCAGATCCACGTGCTGAAAGCACCTTGTGTGTGAGCACACACATCGTGCCAGCAGGTGCTCACCCACCCTCGCAGGAGGCAGGTCACTCCTGTGTGAGCAGATTCAGGGGCACTTCTGTGCACACCTGTGGAGGCAGTGGATTTTGGAGATGATCTACTTGTGCACCCCTGTGTGCACAAGGAGCACATGTGGGACGTGAGGTGTGAGCACATGTGGGACATGAGGTGTAAGCACAGGGATGAGCAAAGGGTGCGAGAAGCATGAAGGGGACATGACAAAGCGTGCGCAGGACACGGGTGCCTTTGCATGCACATGGATGCTGCTTCATGTACCTGGTGGACCAGGGTGTGCTGATGTCTTCCCCCAGCTGCACACACAGGATCTGTCAGTTTTTGAGGAGCTGCGAGGGATTCAAGGCGATCCTGTCACTCTGACCCTCCATGACCCCACTCCGGGAACCATCGCCTGCTGCCGGGGCTTCCTTTCTGAGCCCTTGGCCCGCAAGTACTTCTACGTCAATGGTAGAGTGTCCTGGGGAGCAGTGAGCAGTGTGGGGTGGAGCAGGGACCCCCAGCTGCCTGGCTCCATGGGAGGGGGGTGCATGGCTGTTGGGAACGGTACCAGGACACCTGGCTCCACGGTGGACTCAAGCAGGTGCTCCCTGATGCCTGTCTCTGGGGGCAGTGGAGTGTGCGGGGTGGAGCAGGGACTCCCAGATGCCCAGGTGAGCTCTGTGGCTGGGGTTACAGGGACACCCGGGCCCTGAGGGCACTGCTCCATGACCCGAGGTGCCTGGGTGCCCACAGTGACAGGAGGAAGTGTGGAGGCAGAGCGAGGAATCCAGGAGCGGTTCCGGGCTGTGCTGCGCTGGCCCCAACACAGGATCCCTCCAGACTACATGAAACCACTAGTGCTGTTCTTGGCTCTTGGCTCCATGGCAGTTGTGGTGCTGCTGGTGTAAGTGCTCCTGATCTGCTAAACCCTACCCTCAAAATCTCCATGCTTCTGGGGCTCCCCACAGACCAGCACAGGACTCCCACACCCCCAGCAACCCTCAGTCCCTCAGAATTTCCTACAAATGCAAGGAAGCCCAGGTATCCAAGGAAGGGTATAGACTCCACCACTCACAGAGCCCCTCAATATCCCTTAGGACTACTCCAGGCTGCCTGCCTTCCTTCAGATCCCCTAATTGCCTCTAAGACCCTGCCACTTTCCCCTCTTCTCCCCAGAACCCCTGCTCCCCCTTTGGGGGCCTCAGTTAGTGCCTACTGACCCTGTTGCCCCCAGGGTCACATATTTTCACCCTTAGAACCCATAAGTTGCTCCCAGGACCTCCCAGTTGTCCCTTGGTTTCCCCTAGATCCCCCATGATCCCCACCCCAGGTAGGGATATTGGGTGTCCTTCCTCCTCCTGTTTCTCCATCCTTCCTTCTGCCTCTCAGGATCACCTGCCAGTGCTGGATCCTCCCAAGCCTCAGTGACTCCCAGACATCCCACAGACCTGGACAACAGGGTCCCCCAAGGGGTTACAGACGCCTGGATTCACCCTAGGGGAGTTTGACACACGGATCCATCCCTAAGGACCAAAACTTCTGCCATTCCTTTTCTTGCATATTGGTTGGCATGTTTAAATGGGAACAGTCTAAAAACAGAAGCACAGAGTTTTAACAATATGGATTGTGCTGGAGACGGAGATTTGGGGGTCTTGGCTTTCATAGAGAAATCTGTGGGCTTGCAGACAGAAAATCTGGGTATTGGGCAGCACATGAGCATCCAAAATATAGTTCAGGCACTACTGACCCTTTCAGCAACTCACACTAAGATTGCCACCTGGAGGAAAACATCTTCTCCATCCTGGTGTATCCAAGAGACTGATGGATTGTAAATACCTTTATATGTCATGGTCACTGCAAATGTCAAGTAGTTTTCTCCTCTAATTGCCTAAAAAGCATTTTATCACACATTTACTTTTACTCCACTGTGCAACCCAGCTGGCTGCCAGCTTGAAATTGGGAGAAATTGCTGCTCCAGATTTTTTAGATATTATGTCTGTAGGAAAACAGCCAAGCAGTAGATGAAGAATGCTCCACAGTTCCTTGGAGAAGAGATTAAAAAACAAAACAAAACAAAACAAAACAAAACAAAAAAAACAACCCTTAAGACTGTGATCATGATACCTGCAAAGCTCTGTGTTGCCTTTAAATGTACAGAGGCCCATGTTAGAAAAAAACAACAACTACCAGAGGAATATGAAAAAACAGGCTGGAAATGCAGTAGATGCAGCATATGATGTATCTGATTGGTGCCTTCAGTCCCAAGCAATTGGTGAGACACCTAGTATCATAGAATTATGAAATGGTTTGTGTTGGAAGTGACATTAAAGATCATCCAGTCCAACCCCCTGCATGGGCAGGGACACCTCCCACCAGACCAGGTTGCTTATCCAACCTGGCCTTGAACATTTCCAGGGATGGGGCAGCCACAGCTTCTCTGGGCAACCTGGGCCAGGGTCTCACCACCCTCACAATTAAGAATTGCCTCTAAGATCTTATCTCAATCTCCCTTCTTATCCAAAGTCCCTCCCCAGCTTTCCTGGAGCCCCTTCAGGCACTGGAAGCTGCTCTCAGGTCTCCCTGGAGCCTTCTCTTCAGGCTGAACACCCCAACTCTCCCAGCCTGGCTCCAGAGCAGAGCTGCTCCAGCCCTGGGATCATCTCTGTGGCCTCCTCTGGACTCTGTCCAGGATCTCCATGTCCTTCTTGTGTTGGGGACTCCTGAGCTGGACCCAGCCCTGCAGAGGGTCTCACCAGAGTGGAGCAGAGAATGAGAATTACCTGGGGTTGACGTTCAAGCTGTATTTAAATCTGCGGTGCTGTCAGTGCAGGTTGTGGTTGAGGGGCCTGACCTGCAACCTCCAAGCTGAAGCCCCAGCCTGTGCTCCCCCATCTACAGAATGTCCTAAAAGGACCTTCTCTTGCAGTGCTCTGGTGACACAACAGAGCCACCGTGTGCTCATCCTGGAGGCTGCAGCTCATGTTTCTCGTCCATTTTCCATCATGAACACGCTGGTTTTGTGATCCCTGCTTATTTGTTTAGCTGCTAACAAGGGGACTTGGAAGGCAGGGGCTGTGAGCGTCCCAGTCCTTTAGGTCCCAGGTTCTCTCAGGGGAATGGCTGGGCGAAGCAAGGGGAAGGGGCTGAAGCTCTTCCCACCCTGAATGCTGGTAGCAGGAGTGCACAGAGCTTGGCAAAGGAGAGTGACAGAGGACACAGCCACCAGGCACAGGCTCTCCCTCTCAGACCTCTCGGTCTCTTTTCTTCCCTCTGCCCCAGGCTGTGCTGAGCACTGGAAGGGCAGCTCTGTCTGCTCCCAGTTCTCCTTCCTCCAGTCCTGCCCCTGCTGGAACCCACTGGTGGCCTCCAGGCTTGACCTCAGGCCTTGCCTATCTCTGCAGACGTGCTGGGTTTGTGGCCCCAGCAAGCAATGATGTGTCACTGTCTCCAGACCACAGCCTTATCCTGACTTTCTCCTGAGCATCCTGCACAAAGATGTCCCTGCTGCCCAGGACCCTGCTGAGGCCTCTGGGGTGACAGGATTTGCAAAGGAAACAGGGTGCATGAGAAGGTAGTGGTCTTGGGGAGCACTTGTGAGGGTACAGAGGGCTCTGGAATGAATAGGAAAGCAAATGTGGGGCACTGGGATACACTGCAAAGAAAATGGGGGGCTCCAGGTGGCACCAGAAGACAAACAGGGATGCAGAGGTGGGAAATCAGAGGCCTCCAAAGGTGCACCAGCCTCTGGGTGCACCAAAAGGTAAATGGAGTTCTTAGGGGATGAGAGGACCAAATAGAAGCCTCTGCATTACACCAGAGGGCAAATAGAAGGCCCTGGGGAGCACCAGAGGGTACATCAAAACCACTCATTCAATTCTGTGAGCCTTCAGATCCCCCCCATTCCCCTTCATGCCCCCTGTTTCCCCACATGCCCCCATGGTCCCTTTCATTCTTCTCTATATATGCTCAGGCTCCCTCTGTCCCCCTCTGTGGATCCTCAGTTACTCCCCATTCCCATTTCAGTGCTTGTAGATCCTCTTTCTTCCCCTGCCTGTGTCTTGGCACCTCACAGATCCCATCCATGCATGCTCAGTTCTCCTCCACTCCCCTCTGTGCAGCCCTTGCCATCCTTCCCAAGTGCCTCACATCCAAACCATGGCCCCTTTCTGTGCTTTCAAATTCCCTCTGTTTCCTTCTCAGTGCTTCTAGATCCCCCTGGACTCATTCTGTTCACTCCGAAGCACTCCCAGATGCTCTCCATTCCAATTCAGCTGCTTTCACAGCCTCTCCATTCCTCTTGTTGCACTCTCTTGGAAATCCCTCTGATGTTCTCCTTGCATAATCAGGTCCCCTTCATTCTGCATCTTGTAGTCTCCCGTGTCCTCCATTTCCCTCTGGATGCACCCAGATCTCCTGTTCTCCTCCTCACATACTGAGATCTCCTCTTTTCCTTTCAGCATCTGCTCAGTGCTCACTTCTCCCTCCTGTGCACACTAACACCCCTTTTTCAGTGACAAGTGCCCTCAGATTCCCATTGTTGCCACCCATTGGCACACAGATCCCACCTGTCCCTTCCATGGCTGCTCAGTTCCTACAGGTCCCACCATCAGATCCCTTCCCTTCTCTCTCTGTGCCCACAGGATCAGGCTTTCTGCTTCTCACTCAGTGCATGCTCAGACCCCTCCTTTCCCCTCTGCATGCTCAGCTCCCTCTTGCTGCCTCCATCCACCCAGTTTCACTCTGACCCTGGGCAGACACTTGATTTCCTCTGCAGCCATCCATCCTGCATGGCCAGCCTCCCAAAACCAGTGCCTCAGAGTCCTCAGCTGTCTCAATCAGTGTCCCCCAGCTGGACATTCAGCTGGATCCTTGCAGACCAGGACTGCAGCTCACTGGGGAGCAGAGGCCTCTCCTGGCCCCCCCAGATGGAGGTGACCTCAGCCACAACCTTTTGCCTCCAGAACACACCAGCAGCTCCAAATGCTGTCCCACCAGCATCGGTCTCTCTGAGGGTCTCAGGCCTCCTCTGACTGCCCAGCCAGAGCCAAGAGCACCTTAAACAAGAACCAATTGACCTGGCAGCACCCTGCTGTAGTGGTGGGAGGCAGGGACATCCCCACGCTGGTTGGTGACTGGCACTGAAGTGTTTATTTACTAAGCTCCACTCTTCAAAGCTCCCAAATATGCTGTTCCCAGGGGAAATTCCATCCAGGGAGCTAAGGACTCACAGAAGAGACCATTCCAAGCTCTGGCTGGTCCGGGGGTGGTTTTCTCTGCAGCTGGGGAAGGTGTGTGGCTGGAACCACCAACACCTTGGTCTCAGCCTGTGCTCTCCAAGGGCACAAAGAAAACCAGCCTGATTCCCTCCCCCAGGAGAAAGGAAGGACCTGTTCCCCCCGCCCACTGCCGAGGGTGCTACAAATGCCTCTGTGAGACCTGCCCTCCACCTCTGTGAGCTCCAGAGGACGTTCCTGGGCAGAGCCATGGGTGAGTAGGGGTCTGGGGAGCAGAGGGAGGGCAGCCCAGCCATGGGGTGTGTGGGTCCTGGCACACAGAGGGGAGCAGTGGCTTCAGGGCCCTCTGAGGTGTGGTCACCAGCCACCCCTCCAAGCACCAGCAGCTTGTGTCCTGCTCTTGCTCAGCCCGGCCAGGTCCCCAGTTCAGGGGCCAGCAGTGAATTCTGGCTCAGCTGGCTGGTGGGTGCTCTGCTCCACCCGAAACTGCTTCATGCATGACTTCTTGGGAGCTGGTCAAGGGAATTAGGCACGGTTGTCTACCCCTTGGGTGAAAGAGTTAAAGCCTGTTGGCAAGCTTGCCAGCTTGCAGGGGCCAGTCTGAGGTTGCCCAGCACACTTGGTGCTCTCCTGCAGCTCCCACAGTTGGGTCACACCCTGCAGTGCGGGAGCCATGGGAGCTACCTCTCCAGAGGGAGGGTTCCATTTCATGTTGTCTCCATCTTTTTCCATTTCTAGCAGCCCAGTGCCTTCTGCTCCTTGCTTGTGTGCTGGCCTTGGTGGCCCCAGGCCACTCCACGCATCTACAAACCTTAAAGATCTTCAAGAAATCTCTCCCCAATGCTCCAGCAAGTTCTCCGAAGAAAACCAGTACGTAGCATCCAGTGGGCAGGGCTCTCACCAGCCCCTTCCATCTCTCGAGCTGGGTCAGCTCTGGTTCGTGAGCAGCCCCAGCCCATGCTCTGGGCCAGGCTTGGGGCAATGGCACCTGGGAAAGGGTGTGCTGTGATGCCTGAGATCCCAGCACCTCCTCCATGGTGGGTACAGACAGGTGGGCTGGGGGCAGGTGGCACCGACCCCCAACTTCGCTCAACTGGGGACAGGAGCTCTGCCCATGTGGCAAGATGAGCTTCTCATGCAGCAAGGGACCTGGAGGCATGGGGAGATCAGACCTCCAGCATGGGGGCATCTGGAGCTGTGTGCCCAGGTACAGCCAGCTCTGCAGGGGGAAGGGCCTTACACTGTCCCCAGCCCTGGAGGATGGTGGGTGTGAGGAGGTGCACCCAGTGCTGTGTGTGTGCACTGTGCAGACTGCTAAGGGTGTCCCTGAACTTGAAGGAGGAATTTTTCTCCTGTTCCCTCAGTTACCAGCCGGGGCAAGGCCTTCACCTCCCACCCTGGTGTGACCCTGTTTCAGTGACACCTCCTTTTTCAGGAGGTCCATATCAGTCTCCTGGCCTGAGACCAGCATAGCCCAGTGGGTCTGGGGCCTTTCACTAGGGCTGTCTCCTTTTAGGTGTCCCATATGGAAGAGGAACAGAGGGCTGAGGCCGACCCAGTCTCATCACCAGCCAAACACATTGACCTTTCTAGGCTGGGACAGCTGATTATCCCCCAGGTGCCCTGCCGAGATGTCTCTCTATCCTGCCACAGGGTGACGTGGTCTCGTCCTGCTGCACAGGCTTGTGTTAATTCACCCTCTCTCCTGCCCCAGGTTGGCCCAAGGACTGCAGTGAGCTCCCTGCTGGCAGCCCCAGTGGTGTCTACATCATCCAGCCCCCAGGCCTACACCCCATCACGGTGCCCTGCGAGGCGGGCGGGACGGACGGGGGCTGGACGGTCGTGCAGAGGAACCGGCAGAGCACGGGGATCAGCTGGGCCGAGTCCTGGAGCACCTACAAGCACGGGTTTGGGAACGTGCACACCGAGTTCTGGCTGGGCACCGAGTACATCCACCAGATCACCCAGCAGAAGGTCTACCAGGTCAGGTTTCTGATCTGGGATGCTTCAAACAACATGCACGTTGCAGACTACAGCCTCTTCAGCGTGGAAGACGAGTCCCAGGGCTACCGGCTGCGGCTGGGAACGTACTCGGGAACAGCAGGGGATGCCATGGACTCAAAAAACCCCAGGAAGGTACACAACAACATGAAGTTCTCCACAAAGGATCGAGATCAGGACACCTACAGAGGGAACTGTGCCTCCAGATATGGAGGGGGGTGGTGGTTCTCAGCCTGTTATTCCGCGCAGCTGAACGTTCTTTCCCTGCCTGTCTGCACTGGGCACATGGCCAGACCAGTGCCCTGCTGGGGCCCATTTTGCTTGCTAGGGGTCCAGGGGGAAGGGACCTGTTCCTGTAGAGCAAGAGCTGTTTTCTTTTACCTCTTCTTTTGAAAAGTAGCAAAGCTCCCTGCTTTGGGTTTGGCTTTTCACCTGTAATGGGTTTTTAGGGATCATTATCTTTGAGCAACCTCGTCTAGTGGAAGGTGTCCCTGCCCATGCTGAGGTTTGGAAGTACATGATCTTTTAAGGTTCCTTCCCACCCAAACCAGTCTGGGATTCTATGACTATTTGAACAAGCCTTTATCACCTTTGTGGTTTCCAAGCATGTTCCTTCTGGGGATAATACTGTGCTCAGAAACCTAAAACCCTCCTGATCAGCAAGATCTTATTCTCTTCTTGCTTTGCAAGATATATATAGATAGATGACTTCAGTAGAAAAATACCAGTCAGCACTAGCTAACCTGCTCTAAGCTGCTGTGAGCCCAGGCAGGCCATGCACATACCACATCCCTTCTGTACTCTGGGTTTGGGTTCACCCTGCAGAATAAAATTGCTTCCAGAACCTGCACAGATGTGCAAATGTCCTTCATTTGTTTGGGAACTTCTGACAGCTGCTTCCAGTTTCTTGCCAGGAGCAGAACTGAGGCTCCTGTTGTGGTAAGGAAAGACTTACTAAGGGAAAATATTTCATAAGGCTTGAATGAGGAATTAAAGACAAAACTTGCACTTGAAAGAAGAGCGTTTGGTTTCACCTGGGTCAGCACAACCCCAGGCACAAATCCAGGCTGGAGGGAGAACGGCTGGAGAGCAGCCCTGAGGAGAAGGACTTGGAGTGGGAGGAGACGAGAAGCTCCACATGAGTGACCAGTGAGGGCTGGAGCCCGCAGGGGCAATTGTGTCCTGGGCTGCATCACAAGAAGTGTGGCCAGCAGGGCCAGGAGGGGATTCTGCCCCTCTGCTCTGCTCTGGTCAGACCCTACCTGGAGTGTTGTGTCCAGCTCTGGAGCCCTCAGCACAGGAGAGGCATAGAGCTGTTGGGAGAAGGGCCAGAGAAGGGCCATGAAGAGAATCCAAGGGCTGGAGTGAGTTGGGGTGTTCAGCCTAGAGAAGAGAAGGCTCTGGGGAGACCTTGGCTGCTATATCTGAAGGGGCTCCAGGGAAGCTGGAGAGGGACTTTTGACAAGGGCAGGGAGTGATGGGACAAGGGTGAATGGTTTCAAACTGGAGGAAGGGAGGTTGAGATGAGATCTGAGGAAGAAATTCTTCACTGTGAGGGAGGCGAGATGCTTGTCTGGGTTTACCAAAGAAGCTGTGGCTGCCCCGTCCCTGGCAGTGTTGAAGGGCAGGTTGGATGGGGCTTGGAGCAGCCTGGGCTGGTGGGAGGTGTCCCTGCCCATGCAGGGAGCTGGAACTGGATGGGCTTTAAGGTCCCTTCCAACACAAACCAATCTGTGATTCTATGTCACCTCCTGGGAGGGGTGAACTCTGCATGTCCTGGGGAGACCTGGCATCCCTTGGACAAGTGTGGGTCCTTGCCCAGGAGAGGGACCTGCATAATGCACCTACTTTCCCCCAGGGCCACCACCCTGGGGCCGGGACAGAGTGATCCCTCCCACATTTACGTGCAGCGTCGCAGCAGGAGGACACAAGGCAGCGCATCTGGCGCCAAGGTTTATTGCAGGTGGTTTCTCCCCCCATGGGTAGCAGAGCTGGGGGGCACCGGGGCCCGGGGAGGGAGCAGGGCCTGAGCAAAGCAGGAATACATGGATCGCATGGGGGAATTTGCACTGCCCCCCAGCCAGGACAGGGGTGGGGACACCGACCCCAGACCCACACACCGCCGGGCGGAGGTCCCACTGCATCAGACCCCGGAGCCACCGCCCCCAGCTGGGGAGGAGCTGCGGGCACACGGGATGGGCAGGGGGGCTGGCACGGGGCTGCTGGGGGGCACGGGAATGGGGCACTGAGCTGGGGGCGGGGGCACTGCCACAAAGTGCCGGGCAGGGTCAGCAGATGTCCGTGGGCTTGACCAGGATGAGGGAGGATGCGCAGTCGCCGTTGTCGCAGAATCCCGGCCAGACGATGTGGTTTTTGGCATTGAGCAGCACGTTCTGACACCTGTCGTACCACCAACCCCCGTAGCTGCTGGCGCAGTTCCCACTGTACTGGTCCTGGTCCTTGTCGGTCGTGCTGAACTTCATGTTGTCGTGGATGCCCCCCTTTTTGGGGTGGTAGCCGGTCAGGTAGTCATCCCCATCCCCAGAAAAGCGGCCCAGCCTCAGCGGGTACCCGCTGGCTTCGCTCTCCACCCTGAAGATGTCATACTCAGCATAGTGGGTGACGTTGGCCTTGTTCCTCACGACGAAGCGCACCTTGTAGGTGCCCTGTTGCGTCAGCAGGTGCAGGTATTCGGTGCCCAGCCAGTGGTCGCTCTGCACGTTCCCGAAGCCGTACTTGTAGGTGGTCCAGGATTGCTTCCACGTGAGCTCGGTGTCATGAGAGTTTCTCTGGACCACGGTCCAGCCCTTGCCCTCGGTGTCCATGTCACACCAGACGACGCGCGGGGGGGACCGGGCGGGCTGGATGACATAGACCCCGCTGGGGCTGTTCCTGAGGAGGTGGCTGCAGTCGGCAGGGAAGGCTGTGGGGGCTGTGGGGGCACACACAGGGTGGGGTGGGAGAGAGAAGGGTCATTTCAGGCTCTTGGGGCAACAAGGAGGTCCTCTAGGGGGATGAGGACTCTGAACAGAGAGGGCTGGTTTTGTCTGTGGTCTGCTCCACACCACTCCACGCTCCCTCCCCAGTGCGAGTGGCTTTTCCACTGACCCATCCACAGGGCAACCAAAGGTGTCTAAGACAGTGGCCCTGGTAAAACCCCTTGGATCTATTTCTCATGATGTGCTGTTTCATTTGGAGCCTTCTAGTGCATCTGGCCAATAGACGAGGGGAAAAAAGTTCCTCAAGATGCCAGTGATGTCCTCCAAGTACATCTAGTCCTCACAAAAGGCTCTTGGTATATTGAGCTGCAGCTCTTGCAAGGATCAGAATTGTCTGAAACGTTTCACTGGATGAATACACGTAATGAAAATCTATGTTTTCCCTGGGGACCAGGGCATAGCAAAAGAAGGTTAAGTTCTACCTTGATCTCACGGGGTTCTCTGCCCCCAGCTTGTTGCCATTACCTGTTAACAGGACTGACCTGTTGTGACTTATTTGCCAAAATCATTTGGCATCAGATTTGGTTTTTTCTTGTTTTGTATCCAATGAGGGACAATTCCCTGTGAGTAATTCCAGGTCAGCCCCCGGAATGCTGCTTTCCTTGGGCACACAGCTCCTGCAGGGAGTGTTCCCCCCTCAACTCACAGGGAGGAAGGGAAAGCTCCTCATCCAACAAGGCATTAAAAAAAATAAACCTTGCTGGGAGGTTCTCTCCTAGAACTGAAGTGTTAAAAGGCACGAGCGGCACAGAGCGTCCTGCCCAGGGAGGGGGTCTGGGCAGAAACCCCTTGGTTTGGGAGCCACCAAGGGGGTGAGGGTGGCCTTGCAGGAGCCACAGCCTGGGGGTTTGGGTGTGTGGGGGGTTCTGGTGAGCCAGCCCCCCAGCCCCCCACACTCACGGCTCCGGGAGCTGGCGGTGGGCACGGCCGGGCCGGCACTGGCGCCGAGGAGAAGCATCAGCAGCAGCGTGGGCAGGAGGACAAAGTTCCTGTGGAGCCAGCGTGTCCCAGCTTGGAGGCCTAGGGAGAAAAGTGCTCATCACCATCAGGATCCCTGGGCAGCTCCTGGAGAGCTCAGACCAGGACATGGACAGGAGCAGGGGGGTCCTGGCGTGGGGGGAGCTGCCCCTGGAGGGGTGAAGCTGGGTGAGAAGTGACGCCTGGTCTGCCCCTTCCCTGCACCAGAGAGAAACCTGCAGATTTGTTCTTTGAACCTACAGCCCAAGAGTAGCTAAGGGAGGACAATGACACAGGAGAGAGTCATTTCCTAGGGGAGAGGGAGCACAAGAAGCAGTTCTTTTTGGAGTGCTCAAGCCTTTTACATAAGCCACACCAGCCCAATGACAGCCAGCAGGAAACCAGACCCAAGGGAAGGCCCTACTGCACAGACACCAGCTCCCAGGTGGACAGGAGGAATTCACCTGGGCCCACACAGTGACACAAGCCCAAAGCCCCTGTGCTGGCCACCAGCATGCCCTGCACCAGGTTAGCTGGGTGAGATGCCATCATGCCTGGGGAAAGACCCCTGTGCCACCACATTTGCCACATGCATTGGTCAGGAAATAAGGACCAAGTTGGAATCAGGGTCTCCACATTAACCTCCCTTGAGGCCACAGGGTGACAGGGCACAGGAAGCCTGGAGAAAGCACAGGCTGGTACCAAGCACGTGTGTCATGTGGTGCTTTGGTCTCATGTCCCTTCTGCTGCCAGGGTGTGTGGCATCATCACCCAGGCAAGGTCACAGCTGCTGTCCTGCTGATCATCTGGTGCCTTAGCCAACTCACCCCTCTCAGGTCTTGTTTGAGCCCAGCACCACGCATGACAGCTGGGAAGAGAACTCACCCATCACAAGAGCACAGCTGAGCAGAGAAGCAGGAACCTGGTGGTGCTCCCTCCCATGCCCAGCTCTCCACGGTGGCTTTTATAGGCACAGCACACCCCCCACCTTGGGGCCACACTTCTTGTTTGCAGAGGCACTTGCAGACTGGGACTCAAGTGGTTTTCAGATCCCATGCCAGCACCACTAAACCCCCTGAGGGCAGGAGGCAGGTCCAGCCAGCCAGGGAAATGCGATAATCCCCCCATGATGAGGGACTTCAACTGTTGACTCTTCCAGCTACACAAACACTACCTGGGAATTGCTCACTTGGAGCTAATTCTGGAGAGCCATGATCAAGCTGAAGTGCAGAGACCCAGCTCTTTAAGGATGTGCACACAGAAACCAGCAAAGGAGGAGAGATTAAACCTCCTACTTGCCTGGTCCCAAAAGTGACGTTGGAAAGATGAGGTCAGGTCCTCAAGAAGCATGCCTACCTGCCAACTCCCTGCTGGCAGCTTTCAGCAGCAATGGTTTAAGTTACTGGGCTGGAACCAGCGTCCAGCAGCCAAAGGTCATTGTATAACCAATGTCCCCTGGCAGCCCAACCTGCATGCTCTGGGTAGAGGGCTCCAGGTAACAACCAAGCAACTGCAGATACCTCTGCCATTTTCCTTCCCAGTCCCTGTCTCTGGTCTGGTGAGACCCTTCAGATCCCAGCCCCAGCAATGTCAGCCAGGGTTTCATCCCTCCACAGGCCTCTCAGAACAGATTGGGAGAGCTGCTCTTGGTGCCAGGGGGTGCTAACAGCTCCATTCTTTGTCAGGCCAATTTTAAGAGGATAAAGATGTGGCCCATCTACTTTCATCTCCTGTGTTCATTTCAGTAGCCTACTGACCACGTCTTCTTCATGGCACAGCTTTAAACCTCATGTTCCCAGCAAGGCTCCCACCAGACTTTCTGGACTGCAGGAGCCCACGTCGAGCAGTGGAACTTGCAGGTCTGGATGGACTTCTCCAAGATAAGGGATTCCTGGATCAGCTTCCATCTGCACCCTTAGGTCTCACCCCTGCTTGCACCGTTAGAGGTTGGGAGCCCTTGTCTGCAGCCTTATTTAGTCTGAGAGAACCATAAAAGCAGCACTGCCAAGGCCATTGAGGTAGGAGGGCACAAGCTGCCCTGGGAAGAGGGATGGCAGGTTCCATGTCCCCTCCCTGTAGGGACAGGGGAGGTGGGTGAATCAGAAGGTCCCTGGGGCTGCTGCCAGAGCCAGCACTGAGCCATGGAGCACCTGGGAGCATGGTGGGTGCCTGGGCAGGGCTGGCAGGAAGGCTGCTGTGGGCAAGTCACCACTGCCATCATGGCTGAAAACATGAACGTGGACCCCAGGGGCATGGAGAGGAGGTCCTGCCCTGCCCCTGCACCAGGCCCCACTGGGCTGCTCCAGATGGAAACAAGGGCTATTTCCTTCAGTGAAACATTGGGCACCTTCTCTGCAGTGCAGCAGAGACCCTGCGCTGGACCCACTCAAACATTTCAAATATTTTATGTCCATTGCTGCTCATCCTGTCCCTGTGCACCTCCAAGGAGAGTCACAGAATCACAGGTTAACAGTGTCATTTGGGTTGGGAGGGACCTCTGGAGGCCATCTAGTCCAACCCCTGGTCAAAGCAGATCTGAAAAATCAGGTCCTTGTCCACTCTAGCCTTGAACACCTCTAAGAACTGAAGCCCCACAGCCTCTCTCTGGGCTTCCAGTATTTTCCAAACTCATCTTAAAAGAAAAAATCCCTATTTCTACCTGGAATTTCCATGTTCCAAATTAGATCCATTGTTTCTTATCCCACCATCCTGCACATCCTTGCACAGCCTGGCTCGATGCTCTCTGTAGCCTCCCATGAAGGAGCTGTAGTCAGCAAGAAGACCTCCTTGTTGCCTGCTCTTCTCCAGGTCGAACAAGCCAAGTTCCCTCAGATCCTCCTGACACACTCCAGGCCCCTGACCAGTCTGGTGGCCTCTGCTGGACTTGCTCCCACCTGCAAATGTGTTTCTTGTAATGAAGGGTCTAAAACAAGACATGGTGCTCTGAGAAGCCTTGGCTCCATCTGCTCCCCACCCTCCCACAACAAGACCCATCTCAGCACTCCCTTCTCCAGGCTGAACAAGTCCATCTATCTCAGACTGTCCATATATCTCATGTACTCCTGTCTTGGGGGTCTTACCAGGGCTCCTGAAGTTCCAGTCACTGTTGTGCCTGGGGGGCTACCCCCAGGACTAGGGAGTTCTGTCTAGGAAGAAGCAGGAAGTTCCATTTAAACATGAGAAGGAACTTATTTGCTGTGAGGGTGACAGAGCCCTGGGACAGGCTGCCCAGAGAGGCTGTGGAGTCTCCTTCTCTGGAGATATTAAAAACCTGCCTGGACACCCCCCTGTGCCATGGTCTGGCTCATGTGGTGGTGTCAGGTTATAGGCTGGACTTGATGATCTTAAAGGTCTTTTCCAGCCTTGGTGGTTCTGTGATTCTGTGCAACCTGCCCTGGGTGGATCTGCATGGAGGTTGGACTAGACGATCTCCAGAGGTCACTTCCAACCCTGACCATCCTGCCATTCTGTGACACAGCACCCCAGCTGTCCTCTTACATGTGGAAGTGGATACTTTTCCTTTCCTCACCAGAGGATTTTTCCAGATGCAGCCCAGAATGCAGCAATGAACAGGCCTGTGCCACCACTGGGGCTCTTTCCATGCTGAGGAGGAGCTGAGCCCCAGGACACAGCTGGGATTTCAGAGAAAAGCCTCTGTGGCCTTACCCCCATCTGCTTTGCACATCCTAACCCAAGCACCAGCCACAACCTCCTGGGAAAGCTGGCCAGAGACTGGGAGCTGTGGGTGAAGCTCTGCTGAGGGCTGCTTGCTGCCCTTGTTTATATCTGCTGCTGAGCAAAAGCAGCAGCACAGCAGGGACAGGAAGCCTCCATGATTGTCTAGGGTCAGAGAAACAGACTGGTTTGGGTTGGAAGGACCTTTGAAGATCATCTAGATCCAACCCTCTGCATGGGCAGGGACACCTCCCACCAGCCCAGGTTGCTCCAAGCCCCATCCAACCTGCCCTTCAACACTGCCAGGGATGGGGCAGCCACAGCTTCCCTGGGCAGCCTGGGCCAGGGTCTCACCACCCTCACTGAAAGAAGTGTCTTCCTAAAATTCAGTTTAAATCTCCCCTCTTTCAGTTTAAAACCATCACCCCTTGTCCTGTCACTACAGCCCCTGCTAAAATTCCCTCCTCAGTTTTGTTATAAGCCCCCTCCAGGCACTGGAAGGTGCTCTGAGCTCTCCCTGGAGCCTCATCTCAGGCTGAACACCCCGTATCTCTCAGCCTGTCCTCAGAGGAAAAGAGCTCCAGCCCTTGGGTTCCCCTCGTGGCCTCCTCTGGACTCAGGTAGCCATTCTCAAGCAACCAGCCAAAAGCCTGGCCTGGTCCTCCATGGGCTCTGGCCAACTCGTCCTGCCCAGCACAAGGTGGGTTCTCATAACTCAGAACACTGCAGGTGTCAATCCTGGGAGAACGATGGGCTGGAGTTTTCTATCAGGAAACCACGGTGTGAGCACCCCTAGGAGCAGGGAGAGCCTTGAGGTGAGACCATTTTACATCAGAGTCACGTCAGGACTCCCCAGGCTCCCTTGTGACTGCTGGGAGGGCTGGGGGGCCCCAGGTGCCCCTCACACCACGGGCGGCACCTTCTGAAGGTGGGGGCACAGTTTGCCAGGAACCCTGGAGTGCCCGTTCCCTGGAGGCTCTGCCAGGTCCCCAGTGGCTGTTGGGCCCAACCCCTGCTTGGAGAGAGTGACTTACACCCGATATTTGGTGGGGCTGCCACCCGGGAGGGGCAACATCACCTGGATGTTTACTTTCCTTGATGCTGAAGTGTGCAGAGCTGCCCCGAGGATGCTGTTCCCTGGGGAAACCCTGTGGGAACAGGGGGGCAGCCAGGCCCTTGGGAATCATTCTTGGCTGAAGGTGCTGGGCTCCTTGGCACCAGGTTATTTGCTTTGCCCCCGAGGAAAGCTCTTCAGCTCCACGAGACACGGCCCTCGTTGTCACCTCATGGCAAAGAGCAAACAAGCCCTGAGCCACCAGCCCTGCTGGAGCCCGGGGACACGTGCTGGGCTCTGGGTCTCCTGCCTCCACCCCCTCTCCTGCTGAGCCCTATAACTTTCAGGACACCCCTCCAGCCAGGCCAAACCAGCCCAGCTTCCCACTCCACAGGGTCCCTGCAGAGGCAGCATGGGTGAGTGTGGGATGGGATGGGACGGGATGGGATGGAGCTGCTGGGTGGAACTGCTGCTTTGTGGCTGCAGGTCACAGCATCCCAGCACTTCACAGGGCTCCCTTCTCCCCATGCTCCAGCCATCCTTGGATGCACTGGAACAGGCTGCCCAGGGAGGCTGTGGAGTCTCCAGCTCTGGAGATATTCCAAACCCACCTGGATGCAGCCCTGGGTAAATTGCTCTGGGTGATCCTGCTGCAGTGGGACAGTTGGACTAGATGGTCTCTAGAGGTCCCTGCCAACTCCAGCAGTTCTGTGATGCTGTAATCCCAGCACATCTCAGCAAATCCTGGTGCACAGTCCATGACATTTCTCCAGGCTCACTGTGCCCTGGGCTGGGAACTGGAGCAGGACTGTGTGTGTTCTGATCTTTTCAGGCTGTACCAGTGCAGCCTTGGAGTGTCAGACAGACCATTTCACAAGCCTGATATTTACCAAACAGTCTTCACAATTTTGGGTTCTCCAAGGAAAGTATTAAATACCCTGGAATAGAAAATGGATTATTTTAGATATTCTTGCTCAAGGAGCAATATTGAATAGATCTGGAGGTTAGAAGTTCTGCAGCAAATTGCTGTCCCTAGAAGCACAGCCTAGGGGGCTGATCCTCCTGGATCTGCATCTGCCCCCCATCCAGACCTCTCATGGCCAGTGTGTGGGAATGGGTGAGCAGCAGAGGGACTATTGTTCCTCTGGGGGTCTAAAGAAGATGTGGCTTCAAACGTGCCTCTAAACACAAATGCATCAGATGCTAAATGTTATGGAGGAACTGAGAAGTGGGGAGGCCTCAGCTCCAGTCCTGGGGCAGCTCTGGGCCCCTCACTGCAAGAAGGAGCTGGAGGTGCTGGGGCAGGTCCAGGGGAGACAAGGGGGCTGGGGAAGGGACTGGAGGGAAGCTGGGGGTGTTTAGCCTGGAGAAGAGGAGACTCAGGGGGGACCTTCTCACTCTCTACAACCACCTGAAGGGAGGTTGTGCTCAGGTGGGGTTGGGCTCTTTTTCCAGGCAACCAGTGACAGGATAAGAGGGCCTGGCCTGAAGCTGCTCCAGGGGAGGTTTGGGTGGGACATCAGGAAGCACTTCCCCATGGAGAGGGTGATCAGACACTGGGATGGGCTGCCCAGGGCAGTGGTGGAGGCACCATCCCTGGAGGTGTTCAGGGCAAGGCTGGAGGTGGGACTTGGTGCCCTGGTCTGGAGATGTGGGGGTGTTGGTCATAGGCTGGACTTGATGATCTGAAAGGTCTTTTCCAGCCTTGGTGATACTGTGATTCCGTGAAATGTGTTTAAAAGACCTTTGCTGTAAAACTACAACCAGCACGAGTGCCCGAGGTGTCTCTGAGCATTCCCAGAAACAGTTCTTGTCTCTGGGGTGGCTGTGATCCCACACAAGGCTTCCAGGTCAGCATCACTGGTCATTTCCCAACTCAGTCATCTCAGGGAATGGTGCCAAACCCAGTTACCCCAGGTCAGTGCAATAGCTTTGGCTCTGCTCCTTTCTGAGCAGTGGAGGGTGAGCTCCATGTGTCCTACCACAAACAGATGTCCCCATGGGCTGATGCCTCCTCACTCTCTAGGAATCATGATAAACTTGCTATTTTTGGTGTGCTGGTTTCCCAGGCTACATATGGAACTTGTGAAGGAGCCCTAGAACTACATGAAAGATAATTTGTACCAGCCAGACAGTAATTCCTGAAGGTCTGAGCTGTCCCTCTTGGTCATGCTGCTTTCCTGCAGAGCAGGGAAATGCCCACCTCCCTGCCCAGGGCTCATTCCCACCTGGACATCTGGCTTCTTACTGCCCACAAACCTGGGCTGTAGGCAGGTGGAGTCCCAGATTACACCATCTGGGAGCTGGGAGGGAAGGGGATTCCTCCCTCCATCCTCACTCTGCTTGTTATCTCCAGCCCCAGGGTTTTACCAGGATTTCTGATACCAGGGTTGGGACAAGGTCTTCTGTGTCAAAACCCACCATCAGCAGGTGCTGGCAGCTCCCT